AAATCAATTCTGACAGAGAAAAGTTTCGCATAGAGTTCCATGCGGAATTTAGTTGGAAGAGTAACTCCCTCTAAGATAGGGCATATGTGGGATAGGATAGGGATATGGGGGACAGGATAGGGATATGTGGGATATGATAGGGATATGTGGGACAGGATTCCAAAAGCACTCTAAGGCGATCCTCTTATTTAACTCTGGCCGGATAGTCGCTGGAAACTATGGAGTCAAGATATTAAAACTGGTCAACCTCCTGAAGAGCAACTGATTCTTCCACTTGCAGATCATATGTGTCTGAGAAGATTTTCGTGACTTTTCAGTTCTGGGTGTTAAGGAAGAGGTTGTTTTCTGCGGCTGTACCGCATACGGAAGTTCTAGATGACAGTCCTCTCCTAGTACTACTCACAAAGACATCATCACATGCATCATCCAGGTCAGCAAAATAACTAAGAGGATTCTGAACGGCGCATTCTCTCCAGAACAGGACTTTCGTCCTAGCCAAAGTCAACACTGTTTAGAAGATTCAAGTTGAGAACAATGTTGACTTGCAATGGTGACAGAACACCTTTCTGGCGAACTCCACAGTTAACAGGGAACCATTCAGACAGCCCGCTTTCAATTTTGACAGCAGACGTCTCTTCCAAAACAGAAAAGATGTGTCGAGGTATTCAAGATTATCTACCTCACAGGAAAGTAGATCAAACGCAGCCATAAAGTCGAGGAAACTGGCAAACTAAGGTAACTGGATTCGCCGACATTCCTCAATGATATTAACGTAGACTGAAAATTTGATCGGGCAGAAATATACCACCATGAAGCATGCCTGATTTGGGTGATGTATCAGCATTTCGTCGATAACGAAAAAGAAAACTTTCCACGGAGTTCACAGGAGGTTCATATTACAATAACTGAAACTCTGGAATCCGCAATAAATTCAGAGACAATTACTCCATCTTTCCGTTCGTCTACGAGAAGTCTGTAGGTTCATATTTTATGAAACAGGGCATAGAGTTTTTCCACCATTCCAGTTCCTTCAAACTTAATTAACCCGGGAGGAATTGGATTCACAACGCAGGCGAAGTAAGGCTTTTCGGGGTTTCAGCTTTGAGTGAGGATATTTAATGACCTCTACAACTGAATGGAAATTAACGATCGCAAATAAAGAATCTGGAAGGCAGCAGTTGAACAGCTGCTGGAAATGCTCAGTCCATTATTTGAGACATTCCTTCGGATTTGCCAGTGGGAGATACCCTTAGCGTCTTCGATAAGGATAAATCGAATCCCTTCATACCGGACAACCTATATGAAAACTGTTCGCTACTCACCCTTTCTAGCTGCCCAGTTGACCATCCTGATTCCTCTCCAGGTAAAGTTTCTTACCCCGTATGCAGAGCTGGTTGTCTGTACGAACAAATACGAACAGCACGATGAGTTTCCTTTGAGGGTGCAGTAGGCTAATACAAGTCTTAATACAAATCCTCCTTATTTTTCTGATTTTTCGATGCTAAATCGAGAAATGCGAAGACATTCCTCCTGGACAGTGTGACTATTTTTTTTCTGATCTTAACTATTGCCTTTCGTCGAATAAATGATGGCTTTTGCCTTGTCTTTGCTTAAATGCCCTATAGGTAATTAAGACAAAGGAGCGGTGCAAGTCTTCGTGAAATCTGGTCTTGTAGGAGTCATTCGTTAGCTGCCACACTCTGACGTAAAAGCAAGTAACTATGTTAATTCGGCAACACATATGGAGTACCAGATCCTAAAACAACGTTTGTGATTAACTCGAGGTGGCTCTAACGGATTAAATAATAAAAAATGATACTGCAGGTACCATGAAATCATGGCTTTCTTAAATGACCCCTGACAATAAAGAGCAAGTGAGTGCAATACGTCGTTAAACTGGAGATCATTCCTCATTTGACATTATTTTATACGTAAATAAATCAGCTTAAAGGCAACTATCTTTGGCATACTACTTACTGCGGCGACTCCGCCCGGGCGAATATAATTGGCATGCATTCGTGCACCAGAAACGCGTTCATAGAACTCGAACATCTTTTCTCGCTCTTCGAAGATCCAAAAGAGCGGCGTCATCGCGCCGATATCCAACGCATGGGTTCCGACGGCAATCGTGTGGTTCATCACTCTCGTTAGTTCCGCAAACAGCGCTAAGACGAGTGAATGAGAAATCATAGGTGTCACCCTA